AAATATAAGGAAAATAATAAATAAATTTAAAATATATTATTTAAACTCATCGGCTTCTTCCTATGAAGAAACAGAAATTATAGACGTTGTTCGCCATTATTTTCGCGCTAGAAATAATCCTTTTGAGGAATATAGAGACAACGAATTTACGAACCATTTTAAAATTATTAAAAATACTTGGCTGAACTAATTAACATAACATAAGAGGATTTTTTCTTTTACACTTTTATCAACGGTATTTTTTGTTTTCAGGGCACCTGATGTCAATAACTATTTTCCGATATATAAAAATGACAACACGACGTTAAATTGTCAAAGTCCATCTAGTGAGAATATGTCAAACCTAGTTATATGATGGATTATTATCGAGCGATAGTTATCTATAGATAAGTTCTCAGAAACGCTTTATTATATATTGGACACATAACTTTATCGGACCGATAGTTATTCTTTCAATGACAAAGTGTATTGGAAACTGGCAATTAGTCGGAGTCGGTGACCTAGATTTGTTTATAACCTATGCCAACTTCAGTGGCATACCCCTGATTAAACATAAATTACAAGTAACTTTTTGTGTATGTTGATTACTAAAGGATACTTTATTTTGAAATAATTCTTATATTTTTTGAGCCTCTCCCATATTGAACGAAAATATTTAAATCTTAGTAAGGTAATGTAGACGCTTTTATACAGAATACAATTATTTATGCCCCGCACTTTATGTAAATTTCTAAACCGCTTTATAGTTAACTTCCTAGGTAGCTATTGCCATTTTACTGTTATGTTATTACCAATGAATTTATCCTTTATGTCTAATTTAAAGTTAATTTGTTTTCGCATATATTTAAGAAACTGTGTTTCATTAATGTCGCTATACGCAATATAACCTTAAAATTTCAATATTCAGTAAATTATTAAAAAACGGATATACTGTTTTTTTTTATTTGAAATTGAGGAACACTCACACTGTTATAGTTAATTTAAATCGTATTGTTACCATATTACTTTAAGAAATTCATTAGATATTTTAATTACTGCAATTTCAAAATATAATAAATTGTATATTTTGTAATATATTGTTATGCCCATAATTGTAATTTTTGTATATCGAGCTAATAATTATTGCTTTTTAATTGGTTATTTATAAAAATCGGGTATGCGTGTGTTTGTAATTCTTCTCCTCCTAAACGGCTTAACCGATTTTGATGATTTTTTTTTATACTTATGGGGTCACCTGTATGGTTCTTAGCTATCCGGTAGGGGGCGCTGTTGTTGAGATCCAGATATTTTTTTTATTTTCTGACCAAATTGTATGTAATTTTACTAGCGAGGTTTGAGGCAGGACAACGGATTAGCTGGCATATAATATATTTATTTTAATATAACAGTTTCTTTATCTTTTGAGGTGCTAATTTAAAAGTAGAACCCTCATGCAGTTAAGGACTGGAAAATAAACGTAAAATAATATTTAAACTATAAAGACCCTTCTTTACACATTTCTTAATTAACCCACTGGAACATAGTGTAATCCCGTCTCATTAGTGAATCACAATAAGTTAAAAAAATGGTGACTTAGTCACTCCTTTTTGTACAAAATATCTAAATATGTCTAAAATTAAATAACTAACATTTTGTCTTCTAATATGACAGCAATAAATCCTACAGCATCCTACAGAACATTTTCAATAGATTAAGGTGAAAGCAGCACCCCTTATAATTTTCAGACAAGGATATTTCAAAAAGTAATTTTGTTAATGAGTTAAAATTTTGACAAAATAAATTAAGTAATATTATCTAGATATGCATGTATTTTAAAGTTCTAATTCATTTTAGTTTCCCAGAAAAAAAAAATAAAAAAGCTTTAAATTTTGAAATATCATAATGATAATAAATGCATTTCTCAACAGTACTATTCTTAATATAATTCCGAAATTTGAGCTCTTGTTAAGGATTTTTAGCCAAAATTGTTGGCTAAAACGCCTCGTTAGGTGCTGTAACGCGCCTGTAACTATTATATCGTACACTCGTAGTAATCATTGGTTTATTGAAACGATTTACACCAGTTTACACGACATTAAGTGCTTAAATTTGGGGATTATACTAAGAATAGTGCTGTTGAGGATTGCATTTATTTTCATTATGATATTTTAAAATTTAAAGCCCTTTAATTTTTTTCTCGGAAACTGAAAGGAATTAAAACTTTAAAATATAATGCATATTAATTAATTATTAATATTATTAAAATTTATTTAACAATAATAAAAATAATTTAAAAGAACTTTGGAAAATAATTAATAATGGTTATAAACAAAGTTCGTATTCCTTGGAAAATTTAAAGTCCACTTTGGTCCAAAACTCAATAATTAAAGAGTAGTTATGGGCAATATTAAATTTAACAGTTACTCAATTTGGTTGGCCACGTAATAATTGTTTTATTATGGTGTCACTGTTTATTTTTTGATGTTGTAATTTTAAGATAAATTTGATATATCACATTGTTATAGTGACATTCTGTTCTTTGATCTCCAAAATTTTCCATCTTCTTATCTAGCTTCTTTACCATTTTTCATATTTCTCTGTTATCTTTTTTCCTAAATTATCTCACTTCTCGTTTACTTTCTTCCATTTTTACCTTCAATATCTGCAACACGTGCTTCATATCCATTTCTTTTCTTACACTCATTTGTATTTTCTTCTCTTCCCTTCTCTTCTTCAATTTCTATTTAAATTCTAATTTTTTTCCTTGACTTACTTGTTCCATCTTCTTAAATACTATCCATACATATCCCCCACTCTCTCAAAATACGTCTCACACACAACAAACACATAAGGATCAATATATTAAAACAACTAAAAAAATTATCTTGTTGTCCTGCTCTCACTCCTATCGTTTCCAAATTTTCGCTCCACATGTTGGTAGTCAATTTATAAAGGTAAAACTATTCCAATATTCTACCAGCACTAAGAGTTGTGGCTCCAATGGCTTCCTACAAAAATAATAATAAAAAAAATAATTCTGAAAAATAAATAAATTTCGTTATTATATATAATCTAACACCTCTCTCGGTTCTAATTCCTGCTGCTCTATACCTTCAACTCCCGTTTCTCTATACCTCCAACTCCTGTTTTTCTTACCTCCTTTTTAGTCCAAGCGGTGGGTGGTTTCTATTCGCAAAAGGTCGGAAAGAAATGAAATTTGGTGGGATGGTAGACATGGGTTCCCTGATACTACATCTAAGTTTGCGACCTCGGGGGGGTTGCCGCTCGAGGGGTGGAAGGATAAAAACTCTGCGTCGCGACGCTTATCGGGAAATAGCGCCGTAGGTTCAAATGAAATATGTACAGGACAAAAGGGTGCACAATTTTGTCTGCGACCAATAGTTCCAGCTCTACGACGCGCCAAAGTAGGGGGTTGATTTGCAGTGTTCAACAAAATGAGAATTTCAGAGCGGATTGAGACGAAGGTCGCTATGAAACAATTATGTAATTTTTTTTTAAAGAGTATTGATTTCTGAGTCTGCAGATGTCCGATTTGATACATTTGGTCGTATATAATAAATAATATGATAATTTGAAGCTCACCCCTACACGTTCCGATATAAACATTTTATAATTATCAGTATCTACGGTTAATATTTCCTTATTGTTGACCTAGGCACCAAATGTATTCTTTTTGAGTATACATGATACAAGAAAGTATCATTTTCTCTTTTATAAAAAAAATAGAACATAATTGTTTCATAGCGATCTTCGTCTTAATTCGCGCTGAAATTCTCATTTTGTTAAACATTGCAAATCAACCCCCTACTTTGGCGCGTCGTAGAGCGGGAACTATTGTTCGCAGACAAAAAATGAAGAGTTTAAAATTGTGCACGATTTTGTCTTGTACATATTGAATTTGAACCTTTTCTCGATAGCACTTACCACAAGGACGCTATTCCCCGAAAAGCGCCGCGATGCAGAGTTTTTATCCCTCCGCCCTTCGAGCGGCAATCCCCCAAAGTCGCAAATTAAGGTGTACTATCAGGGGACCCATGTCTACTATCCCACCAAATTTCATTTCTTTCCGACCTTTTACGAATAGACCCTCTTATTCTTTACCCACCGCTTGGACTATTTCTCCTGCATGCTGCTGTAACTTGTTTTCCTGCTCTAAGACCTGTTTTCTTATTTGCTACTCTTTCAAAATGTACTTTTTCTTTTCAACGGCCTCCTGCTCTACTTAACTTCTTTCACTGTCTGGGTTTCTTTGCTACCTTCTCCCACTCCTGCTTTTTTTTCTATATTTTTATTTTAAATAAAACTTTCTTCATACCTTTTTTATTTAACTTCTAACAAATATCTTTCTTCTAATAGCTAACACAATCCCAATCTCAATTCTATCCTAAAATCTTCTAAAAACTTCACAATACTCATGACAAATCTGAATTCCAATTTTCAAAATCTCTTTACTGTTGACGTCAGAAACTTAAAGCTGTTTAAAAAAACTTATCGACGTCAGTGGTGCAAAACGGAAACATGACATTTAAAGTCATATAACGGAATCATGACAATATACAAAAACACAATAGGCATTCCAACGACCTGTCCAAATGGCTACCAGTGGGGAGTGACAGTTTAGATATGGCAACCCTGTTGTCATGTTGTCATTAACAGGGTCAATGATACATATATGGTTAAATAGATTTTTCAAACCTGGGGCTCGATTCTTGAATCTCGAACGAAGTTTGTCGAATTCGTAATTTGTCACTTTTAATGTCGATCGCTTTGTTTGTGACTTATTCTTCAGTACGAATCGACATTCGAAAATCAATCGACATTTGATGTCGAAAGATTAAGTGGCAACACCGTATTATTGTGACACGGAATCCATAAACAAGAGTCTGTCAAAGTCAAGTGTCAGTAGTGTCACAATATTCGAAGAGAAGCCTCCATATCTATGAGAGAAACTTATTTTCATAAAAAAACTAAAACTTATTTGTTTAATAATGCCGTCTGGGATGGATTTAAAAGAGAAAAAGCTATATTGCAGTCAACAGCAAAAACAGCAACTAACAGAAATGGTCACCAAAGACAAGCAATTGCTAAGTGGCAAGTTCTCTAATAATTTTACCATGAAAGACAGTGTGGAAAAGTGGGAAAACATAGCCTTAGCCTTAAATTCCATGCCGGGCGCAAATAAAGAGTGGAAGCAGTGGAAAAAAGTAAGTTTTTTTTTCCAAAAAAGAATTTTTTTATGAACAATTTTCTTTTTTAGACTTGGCAGGATATGAAATGCTCAATAAAAAAAAAAGCATATAATAATAAAAAACCATATGCAAGGAACGGGAGGAGGGCCACCCATTGTAGATGTTTTGACATCAAATGAGGAACTGGTATTGGAGTCAATGAATCCTACAAGTGTGTCAGGAAATAATGAAATTTTGGAAACTACAACACTGTTTAAGTGGGAGGGAGAAATTGCAACTGGGTCATCTATAGACAGTGAATTAATTGACGTTGCTGAAACTCCAAGCCATAAGCCAGATCATACCTACACTCTAAAAGAAAATCCAAAAAGGAAGAGGTTTACACCTGCTAGGCGCCGTGCATTAACTGCAAATGCTACACAAGTGCTAGCGCAAAGCTCCGAGAAAGATTTGGAGATTAGGGAGATGTATTATTTAAAAAAGGCACTATTGATGGAAAGGCTCTAGAAAAAAATTCAACATTGATGGAGAGACAGACAGTGGCTCTAGAAAAAATAGCCAACCACATAAAATGATCTTCATTTATGTACCTAACAAAAAATATCCTTCACCAACTCTATTATATATGTTCCGTAATATTTGCTGGGCATTACTAGTGTTCCATATATGAGAATCATGGCAACCTCCAGGAAATCTAGCATTAACATGATATATGTATAAGTCAACATCACATATCTGAAAAAGTAATATTTAGTTTACGTTTATATTAGGTACTGTACTGGGTAATTTATATAAAGGGTACCTACCAATTGAACATTTATTGAATGATAGTTCTTTCTATTGACAAAAATATTCTCTGGAAAATTTGGATGGTTTATAGGAGGAGGAAATATAGCTACATGAGTGCAGTCTATACACCCAATCACACCTGGCATTCTATATTTGTTGTAAAATCTACAAGGAACAGTTAGTTATAAATATTTGTATACTGCTTTAAGAAAGGTTTAACTAAAACTACATGCAAACTATGTTTACTTTTGACAAAGGTTATTCATTTCTTCAATGTTTGCAGGAAAATGAACCCATCGATAAAATATTTCTGGCCTATTCAAAGCATCCGTGACTTCTTTTACACTTCTACTAACGGAAGCTTGTGACATTCCTAAGAAAACATTTTGGCCAACACCTGTCTGATAGCTCCCTGTTGCAAAAAAGTTGAATGCTGCTAAGACCTGTAATTATTATTATTTTTAAATCCATTTACAGACAAACAAGACTTTTTACCTTTCTTTCAATGGATAGTCCAGATGCCCGTGTTCGCTCTTGGATATATGGTGTAACCATTTCGATTAACTCATTGGTAACGTCTTTTGTTAATCTGAAAGTCTTTTTAAAATTATAATCACTCATCTGAAACGCATTTATATAGTTTATTATTTGTCTGGGAGCATTATCTTCCATGTTCTCTATTGCCACTCCTAACGCTATGTTTAGATTCATCTTAACTTAAAACTAACACTAAACACTAACTAAAAAAAATAATACCTATTAACAACAAATAAATAAATATTAATAAAACAATAAAAATGGAGTGAACTAAATAAAATGTCAAGAGAGTTGATAAATTTTTAAAATAGGTTAGGATGTTATTCCTTGGTTATGTTATGACAGACTGAGAATAAAATTCGACAATTCAATAAGTCGAACGGTTTTACCCATTCGTTGCAATCTCGAACAAGAATTGTCGAATTTATCACGAATTCGACTTCCAAGAATCGCCTTTATACAAAACTATCGACATATGTCGAAAATTGACAGTGACATTCCGATTTCGAGATTCAAGAATCGAGCCCCTGGTCGTTTGCGAGCGGCCATATTGCCTGGCAAATATTTATTAATTTGAATCGGTTTAGCAAAAATGTGTTTTAAAACCAATTTTTAGCCTTTGGATAATTAAAAAAAAAAAATAATAATTGCTTACATTTTTACTTCAAGGTATAAGCTTTTAAAACCGTGGATGATCAATCTATATAACTGTCTATAGCATTCACCCTATCAAACTACCAGGCTCACAGTGTTGCCATATTATAAGATGTCATGTGTCTTTCAGTGGCCTGTCATTTCAACCGTCAGCCATTTTGTTTGGAATGCCTAATTGAAAATGTTTATTTATAATTTATGTCTTTTAATTTTAATTATTATCTAGTACGTATTTTGTTCGTTAAGATTTATTATCATATTGGTTTTTTCTAAATTATTCTCGAACTAGTGTTAAATCACTTATCGACCATAATAATGTATTCCATATTAATATGCATTTCCATCTTTTCTGAGTTGAATTTAGCAAAAGTAATTTTCAAAAATTTCATCAGATACCATCCAGTTCTTATTCAGATTCTTCGGGCAAATCCATACCCGCCGATATGGAAATTTGTATTTAGCATAAAAACTTGAAGAAGTACAGTTTTTTGTCAATACCCGTTCACAAAAGACACCCCTAACTGTGACCCCTCGGACCCAAAGAAAGGGTTCATTTGCATGTTAGGGACTTGCGCGTATGCAAAGCGACTTGGCTTCATTCATATCCGAAAAATGCGTTCGATTTAACCCTTTAACAAACTTTTTTACCGACTAGAAATGTACATAATGTACTCTTGGGCTTTTGTAAGTCCGTGGGAAGACAAATAGTGTTTATTTACCTGTGAAGACAGGACCGGTGGTTTCGTAAACGAAATTCTTAAAAAAATATTCTTGGTCCATTTGAAAATACATTATTAATACAGGGTGTTTCATTTAAACGCTGACATAAGTTAAACAGCAATGAAGGTCAATCCTACACCACGCTGAAAGTATAGTCAATAATTGGCAAATCAAAACAATTAAAAAACAATTTGATTCTTCTTATGATGCTTTCGAATATAGGGTTGGAACGAATGAGTCTCCTTTATTTTTTATGAAATTCGTTTTAAATTACATTCTGAAATCGTACTTTTGCCTTGGTGATGTTCGTTGTAATTTTTAATAGTTTTCACAGTTTTGTTTGGGAATCTTTTCTGCCTCTACTTTCAGTCTTTCTTTAATCAGATTTATCAGGACTTTATAGATGGTATTAAACAGAGTTATTAATCTATAATTATTGCACACTATCATTCTTTTTGTCTCCATATTTGATTTATTGGCATCTCTGGGAGAAAAATTTACAGTTAACTAAGTGTAAATAATAACTAAAATCTACATAGTGGAAATAACTGTAACTATCATTAAATAAGAACTATAGTTAAATATACGTCATAAAAATTAATGACGTCACAACTCAACAAGTGTACTGTAGGAAAAACATCTATATAGTACAGTTAACTAACTATAAATATTAAAAGAACTGTAACCCACTACACCTAACACATAGACCCAGCTACTTGTAGTCCATAAATAGTTTAATCTGCAATTTACATGTATTTAACTGTAACTTTCATCCTAAAACTCGAAACCGACATATATAATATGTATGTAATTTAGATGTAATCAATTCATTTGTGATACCCGACTTTTACACTTGGTTTTAAGAAAAGACTACAGTTAATGTTACCTAGAAGCCGTACGCACTTTACTTGTAATCTTAATTTGAGTTTTTCTGTGATTTATAGACAATTGTACCTATAACCTGCATGTTGTGCAATCCTACATGACGAATACCTTTACGTGAACTTTAAAGATACTATCTATGGCTCTAAATTAACCCCTACTACATCATACAGTTATACCATTGTATTACAATGGTTTTACATATTCTTTATTTATTTTATTCGACCTGACATTATTTTTTTAATTTTGATATATAAATGCATAGTCGGATAAAATAAATATAAATATGTATACAAAGAAAGTACTATTGCACGGGTCGATAAAGAGTGACAAGTAGTTACTTCAAAGTTAATGAAGATAATCGACAATGAGGATTACACTAATAGCAAAACTTATAAAGTGTTTCTAAAGCTTTTCTTATTCCTGTTGAGACTGAAACTTTTTCCTTTTTTATGCGCTTGTGATATTAAATATTTTATTGTTTTTGCGTCTGATTATACTGACACCATGAGTTGTAATAGAATATATATATATATATATATATATATATATATATATATATATATATATATATATATATATATATATATATATTTTTTTTTATAAAAAATGGCATTTTACTGATGAAACTGAATTACAATTTCTGGAATGTTTCATTTTTTTTTTAATTGATGTACATCTGTGTAAAAACTAAACTTGGATAAAGGAAAAAACAATTTATGGAACGGTACAAAAATATGTATCTACCTAAGTACACATACAAGAATTTAAACCTACGAGATATCTAATTGTTACGTACAAACGCAAAGGCGGATGAACTTAAGTTAAAATGTTTGGTACTAAACCTGATATGTAACTATAGAGAACAATATTTCGCAAAATACAAAAATAAATATTGTTACGCAGGTTTTTGGTATCACAATTTATTTCAACTGAACTTTAACAATAACAATGCAACTGATAACATTAACGTGTAACATCTATAATAAAACTGACGTCAGGATCATCCTTATATAGCTTGCTTGACCCTTCTCGAACCTTCTCGAACTGTCATCTAGAATATTCTTGACGGGTAATGACATTTCCAGACATTTCGGGACTATTCCATCTTCTTTTACGTGTACTTTTACTTACGACCGCAGCACACAGTAGGGCGATGAGTAACATTCCACTTCTTTTTCTATCTGTATGTTTCCCATAATAGCCGTAGGCTACTACAGGGTGCTGCGTAACAATATATACATACAACATTTTTAATCTAAAGGATACCTCATTGTTAAATACAATCGAAATATGTATTTGAAATCTTCTTAAATTTTATAAAATCTGGAAAACAAAAATAAATATGTAAATGGTTTACTAGCGAAAGATAATCACCACACATATTCATTCGAACATCTAGCTCCGACATTTACTAAGCGACAGCTCTGCATTTAGCGTTTTGAATCACTGAAAGTATGAGATGAATTTTGATTCGGATCTAAGGTTGGAATCTTCTTCGAGAAGCGCTTCAATCATTTTTATGGACATTTGCTAGTGACCATACTACTATAGGCGTTTCTTGACATCTTTAAAGTAGGACACGATCTGTTTCCTT